ACTTTTCTGCATTACTTTTGGTTTTGTTCTAAGGTCCTTAATTTCTGGCATCAGGTTGCCGCCGATCTTACAGCCCTACTGGACCGTGATGTTCCATGCTCAGCATCTATTTTTCTTTTAAATGATTTTTCTTCTCTTAATATTTCAGTTCAGCAGAAAACAATTGTTCACAAAAAGATAAAGCAAAGGTTCAAATCAGGTTATGATCATGTTCATAACTGACCTCATTTTTAAGCTGTAGTTTTGTAAAAATCTAATTTACACAAACTCCCCATTAAGTTATCTGAAATAGACTTGCTTGTGTGGTTTATGACTCTGTATGATACTGTATAACATGTATGACTACTATCTAATGTGTGAACTGTGACTATTAGAGCTAGCCAGGGTTTAACGATGAATCGTCTTCATATCAAAATCACAGTTTGAAAGTGCAATTTTCAAATCGCAAAATCAGCATTTTTAATTATGGTCTACCTAATCAACACTGTTATCGTATGTTTTTGCTGGGTAAGTGGAGAACCATGACTGTTACAGCTAGGCCTTAATTTGGGCCATATTTGTCAAAACCCTCTCTATGATCCTGCTAACTTCTGCTGGCATCTCTGTAGGATTCTATTGGTTTGTTAGCACTAAGCTAATGGCAAACTCTTTCTGATGAGGCTGAAGTTAGGCTCTTGTTTAATCTTCTGTTCCACCTTAAGCAATGCAGCAGTTACATTCTGGCTCATCTAGGCACCAGAATGTAACTGCTGCAGTGTTTAAGGTGGGATGGAAAATTCAAAGAAGGCAGATTAAACACAGACATTTGAAGCGTCTAAAAGTCATTCCATGTTTTACTTGAAGTTTGTGACAGACATATTAGCATATATTTAAACCTAGTAGCAGTTTCCCAGTGACTCTTTCAATGGAGAGGCCTGGTATAGAGATGCTGTAACTATTTTCCGTTTCTGACAACGCGCTGATCAGGCTGCCGCTCGTATTCCCAGTCAGTGATGTATCTAGGACTTCCAGAAGGTCTAGAGTGACGCTTTCTTGCTAAATTAACCCCACTCCTTGAAAATCAAATGAAACAAGAATACTACTGCAATACTACTTAAATACAAGCATGGTTCTATTGAATAAAAATGAACACAAGACTGAGATGTATTTTCTAGTTCCCAGAAATCATTGGGCCTTGTCCCTGAGGGGAAATTTAACCCAATAACACAGAGGTCATGAACTGCCTGAGTTAGACCAATCAAAAGCAGCCAAACACCCGTGTGCTGTGTACCTGACAACATACGTACAACTAACTTGCATCAAATGAAGGAGTTCAAGCCTCAAGCCAGAAAAAGTCAATGCAAAATAACAGGCCTGGACCTTGTTTTCTAAAATATATGATATGATATAATGTAAATTGCAGTCACAATACTGATTAGAAAAACTGGAATAAGATATTTTGCACCAGTCCTTCAGTTCATGTGTATGTGTGTGTATATATATATATATATATATATATACATATGTTGTCACGCCTCAGGCGGACTCAGACTACATTTCCCACAATGCATTAGGAGATCATGTGACTGAGCAACTTCCCTCAGAAGCGGAGTCCAGAACGGACTCCATTGCCCACAATCCCTCGGGAGATCATATGACTTTGGATGGTCGTGCACGCACCTATCAGCGCTCACAATCACCTGAGTACTAAATACATGCACCTGTGTTTGTTGTCATATGACTCATTTAGTATAGTTTATAATATATAGCTTTAGTCTTAGTCGTTGTGAGGTATTGTTTCTATTTGAACTTGCTGAGCGTTTCTATGATCTATTTGCGACTGCCTGTTATGACCTCCGTTTTGTTGAACTGACCTTGATTTTTGCCTGTCCCTTCTTGTACCTTAGCTGACTGTTTTTGGATCTGTGTTTTGACTTTTTGGCCTGGTTTTTGACGACGATATCGGATCACTCCCTTGGTTTTGTTTGCTTCTGGTTATGATCACTTCGGTGATATTTTGCTGCTTTCTGGTTACGACCCACGCATGTGTTTTGACCACGCCTTTGTCGAACGTGAATAAAGCCCTGTTTTCATTTTTCATCCGCGAGCGTCTGAATTCTGTTGCATCCTTACATATATATATATATGTATATATATATATATATATATATATATATATACATTAAATACTGCTAGCGCTCCTATGGGATTTCTAATAATATGTCATAAGCTTATGCTGGTGCACATAAACATTGACAGTTCTGAACTAAATATGGATACCTGAAGTTTGTGAAAGACATTACATGATCAGTCTTTTCAGAACCTTGTAACAGACTAACAGTAGAGCTGCTGCTGCTGTTTTCCATGTCTAACAACTGACTGAAACCTGGTTCTGTGCTCCTACTCACAGGCAGAGTCATATCTAGGACATCCAGAAGGACTAGAATAATGTTTTTTCTCACAAAATGGTGAGGGTTCCCCGTTGCTGTTATTTATAATAAAGATTAAACAGCAGAGCTCATGCTTAAAGATGGCTGTTACTATTGTTTTTAGCTGCTACTACTACTTTTCACTATTGTCATTTCAATTGATTGTTAGCTACATTAACCTTGTTGCTCCAGTGCAAAACTAAAGAAACAAACTTCAGACGCCAAACATCTTGGTGGATCAAATCATTTTGGGATGAGGAGGAAATTGTGTAAAATCTTTACTAAATTATCACATTAAGCTTATCAACGGCGAGGCTGAGTGAGGTCACGAATAGTTGACGAGGAGAGAGAGAAGGCCACTATTGTACTCGTTCATCTGTCACTCGTTCACTCTTTCTCACCCTTCTTTGTCTCTGCTCTCCTGTGTGCTGTTTGTTTGTATTGTGAGCTTAAATATAAAGTCACGTGGAAAGTTAAAGCTGTATTTCAGACTGAATATGAATGATCATAAGGTGATATACCTAAAATACGACTGCACTTCCCATGTTTAGTGTCTAAAAGTGGCCGGGAGGGACAGTTATGTCCATTATCACTGCTCCTTAGCAATGTAATTGAATATGCCCTCGAGATTGGGCAGATATACTTCCTTGAAAAGCTCTAGTACAACTCTTACGGGTTATTAGCGGTCTGAGTTGTAGCGTCTGTGTTTTCATTAAGTTATCAGCATGAAGATCAGTGCGGATCAGGTTTGCTGTTGTTTCCCAGTACAAATGTGCCTGAATTTGCAGCCTGGACTCTCTGGACCTGTGTGTCTGCCTTGTGTTTGTTTTCTTTCATTTACAGGACAAAGATGTCCTGACTTTGTAGGAACTACCATAATCTTATTGTCCAAACGGCCATAAAGTACAAGTTGATCATTTGTGCATTGTGTCTGCAGTGTAACCCCCCCCACCCCCCCCACCCCCTTCAAAGGCTGCATCCTCACTTAAGCAAATGAGCTCACAGAGATGACAGGTACAATACCAGATGCTTACAGGTGGTCTTTTCTCCACAGTGGACAATATACCATCATGGTATTTGTCAGAGAAAATCTTCACTGTCTGTGTTTACATGCAAAATTTTTTGCCAAAATGATTGATTATAGATTAAGACTGAGGTGTTTATATCTCACTCTACTCAACACTCTGATGAAAATCTCTGTTTACATGCACACGACAGGTCATCCGATCCAAAATGATGCGCATGCGTTGAGTAACAGTGTAGTCGTTACCAAGACAACGAGCATCACGTGAGGTCCAGTCAGAGTGAGATGAGCAGCAGTGAGCAGTGCTTGTGTTTTTAATTTAAAATGATGAGACTCAGGAAAACGTGCTTCACATGTCCTTATTAAAGAAGGCAGAGAGGAAGACGTCGCGTTCTGAGACACATGAGCTGGACGTCCGTCCCACCGCCGTCTTTTAAAGATCAGAGCATAAACTTCGTCTCCTCTGCAGACCAGTTTCTGCTCCGCCATGTTGAACGGTATAAACTTTCACTATGACGAGACGAACATGATCAGAACGGACTGAAACTTTCTGATAGGGAATGTAATCAGATACAGGCGTTTACACTGATATTATTCTTCTATTTAACAGATTATTTACAGGATTACCCACCTCGCTCAGTCGGATAGAAATTATATTCCAAATGGCCTCAATCGCACTAGACTGTTCCGATTGAGGTGTTTACACAGACGTATTCTATTCCGATTGAGCTATTAGTCTGATTATTAATGGATTATCAGGCTGCATATAAACGTGGCTACTGTTCCTGGACCAAGCTAGAGCAGTTAGCCTCTTAAAAGCCTTTACAGTTAATTAAAGAGCTAAATTCATTTTAAAAGGCTTAAATGCAGCATCACTCGCAGAGTAAATTCAGCGCCATTTCACTGAATTATTGGTCTGTATATTTTCTGTCTTTCTGTGATGAAACGTAACAAATACCCAGACAGCGATTTCAGTATTTGAATACTGGCACCTTGAGCACCTTGAGAGTACTCACGTACCTGTGCACATCCGCAATACAAGCTGTATCCCATTTCACGCAATGAACCTCAAGATATGTTGGCTGGCGATGGATCTACGCATTGGGTCCTTCGTTGCCATGGAAAAAAAGGACACGTTTCTCGGCCACATAAGAAGGAGTCTTCGAAACGGGGCAGCCTAGTCGTGCCACTGTGACGCATTCGGCCTTCAAATGCAGCCTCCGAAGGATGCAGCCCCTGAATTGGGACACAGTTGTAGTGGACACATGACCTCATGTCCTGGCATTGTATAAAAACAAATCTGTGACCCGACCTGAATTCTGTGGAAATTCACTAGAAGTGTGTGTGTGTGTGTGTGTATATGTGTGTGTGTGTATGTGTGTATATGTGTGTGTGTGTGTGTGTGTGTGTCTGATTTCTCGGAATTCTGTTTGCTTGTGTTTGCCTCACCTGCTGTTTTTATCTACTCAGTGAAACACTAGGACGAGACTGAACATCACTGATAGAGAAATAACCCTCCCTCTCTCTCTCTCTCTCTCTCTCTCTCTCTCTCTCTCTCTCTCTCACAGAGGCTCAGACTGCAGCAGGAAGCTGAAAAATGTAAGTCAGTATTTCTCTGTAGTTTCCCTGATCTTTCTATCTGTTAGCGGTGAAACCTCTCTTTGCTTGTCCTCGTGCCTTTGCAGGACAGTCCTGGCCTTTAGCTCATCTGTGTGCCATTACTGAGTGTGTGTGAGTGTGTATGGCTGATTGCGGGCTGATTGGATGGTCTTTGTTTCCTCTGAGCGCAGTGGTCTTAATGCCTTCATTTCCATGTTGAGTGTTTTTATCATTGGTCTGTGTCCTGCAGGACGAGTCTTCTGTGTAAAGGGCCCTCATGTTTGAGAAATAAAGCCCCACAAGTTCCTTCTACATTTAAATAAATACACACGCTGGAGCTCTGCTGTGAAAATAGGGCCTGTCGCAGTGTTTATCGTCACAGTGTTTGGTGGAGAGTTAGCACCTGCTGACAAGAGCTGGACGATACTTGGCAAAAAGTCACAGCACAATATTTTAGGTTTTGGTGATGGGTTTCGCGATATTTGAAAAAAAACAAAAAGGGTGTCAAACGTACCCAGATAAACATATTCCCAAAAGGAGTTGAAACAGGGGATTAATTCAATATTCTTATTAGATTAGATTAGGTTCAACTTTATTGTCATTGTGCAGAGTACAGGTACAGAGCCAATGAAATGCAGTTAGTATCTAACCAGAAGTGCAGAAGACAGTTTTATTTACATATAAAGTGCAGAAGGACGGTAGAGGGGTAAATAATATAGATATGCAAGTATAAATATAATATACATATATACGGAGTGAGTGGAGAGCGTACAAATGTAGGTACTATGTACTGTGAGAGCAGCATATATAAAAAGGATACGTATACAGAGTGAACATGTACGGTAATTGCCATTGCAAATATAAATAGTGCAGTCATAGATTGTGCAAATATGAATAGTGCAATAATACTAGGATATAAAGTAGAATAACAATGAGTGCAGAAATGCGGTTAAAGTGACGGTGTGGAGTTCAGCAGGGTCACAGCCTTAGGGAAGAAGCCCTTCCTGAGCCTGCTGGTATGGGAGTGGGGGACAGTATGCACAAGGTGGAATTCAAATACCATATTGCAATTATATTTGCCACCTATTGCAGTTAATATACACCTGTTAGTATATTGTTGCTGTCTGAAGAAAAACAGGTATCTCCAAAATAGTAACTTCACAGGAGAAGGCAAAAACACTCTTAACTTTCAATGTAAAGAGGTTTTATTCCAAGTGATTTGGAGCATTTCTATTGGTCCATTCATCATGGAATTTTCACACAACGTGAAGGACAGCTGGTTTGTTGAAATGATGTAAAAAACTAAAAATCGAAAAAAAAATGGAGATACATGGTCTTCTTTGGACAGCAGCGATATTTAAAATGCGTTAGTGAACCTTAATGTGATGTTTTTTCACCTGCAATTTTTTACATTTATTCATCAGAACGCCCAGATTTGCTCAGAATGCTCACAGCACACAACGAGACATTCAGGGCTAGATGTACTGCACATTCTGTGCTGGTTTCAGGTGCAAACTGGACGCATTCTGCCTGTGCGTTAGGGGCAAAACTGCGCGGGGTCATAAATGCAGTTTACAGTAACACAAACTGTTTTTCTGTGTCTCATGCACATGCATTTAAGAGAGGATTGTACAAAATGAGAGAGATCGATGCAGATTCAGGTGGTATGTTGGAAATTAGGCTGATTTACAAAAGTTTGAGCTGCAATTTTTAAATTACGGCTCTTTTCAAATTGCTAGTACTGATCATGGCGGCTAGAGGGAGAAACAAGCCTCATGTGCTGAAAGACTATTTAGCAAAAGAACGACTTTCAACCTAATTCCCTGTTTTTACTTCAGCTCTCAGAATCAGATGTGCTTGTGTGAGAAGACCTGCCGTGCCATGATGTAGCTGCAGTATGTGTGCGCAGCCTTTGCTATTGTTTCACTCGTTCCTTATTTAGCTGGAGTAGAATTACACCCCTGTAGAATGTTTTGGTGGAAATGAACTTAATTTAGTAAATCTGCTCGGTCTTTGTCACAGCTTTCATTTTCTCTTTTGTCCCAAAGCTCAGTTGTGGGCAGTTTGCACGATTAGCTGCCGCCTGTGTTGGATGTTAGTTTCAGATGCATTTTGCAGTCACATCAGGGCAGGTTATATGCTGCGCCTGTGTCCGTACATACATCCGGCTGTCGGTGAGTGGTTAGTGGTTCAGTTGCATGTTGCATGAACATTGCGAAGCCTGAGGTTGCATTAACGATTAACAAACTACATATTGTGCACCGACAGGTTTCTGAGCAGCATGTTGTGTTGCTTATTTAGATATATGTCTTTATATCATTGTTTTCTTGTGTTTTTGTAGCATGTGCAGTGTACGGTGCCAAATCAAAGACCAGCATCAGGAAAAAAATCTGAAAACATGTATTTAACTAAAAAAATACACAGAAGCCTAAGTGTAATGTATAAGCAAAAATAATCTTATGTTATATAATATGTATATAACTAATATGTATGCATATAATGTAATGTCAAAAATGTTTACTGAGTCCATTTAGTGCTTCTGTTCTTTTTGGGAGACTTTTTTACTCTCAGTTTTCAAAGAAATCTGCAGGGATATTTTTACACATCTCTAAAGTTCAGTCTTAGAAGTCCAAGTAATCCCAAACACATTCCATCTCTGAAATGGCCGGGCCATTGTTCTGAGAACACCAGCAGCTTCTGTTTTGTCTAATTCCTTTTCTCAGTAACAGCATTAGTGATTAGACAGCTGCACCACATGAGACGATGCCACGCTTCAAAGTTAAAACAACAAATATTTTCTCCAGTGTATTAAACATTTATAGACACAAAATCTGAGCTGCGTCATGTGTTCCTGACTGGTGCAGTGGACTAAGCCATCACTCCAGCAGGAGGTTGTGAGTTTGAGCCCCAGCGATGCCGTAGCCATCCTTAAGTGCATACACAAGAGGAAAAATGTCCATCAGGATTGTGTGAAAGAGCCCTGGCTAGTGTGGATGTTGAGTATATAAAGGCAAGTTTATTTTATTTACCTCACTGAGATGCAGAACTGAAAAATTAAGAGAACTTTTGACTAAGAAGTCTGAGTTGTGTGAACTCTGGGGTCCTCAATTTGAGTCAACTCAAGAAAAGCCATGTAATCAGTTACTGTATCATTGTTGAGCTCACCTCTATTTGTCTATTTGATAGTGACATTTGATAGTTTTGGTGGTCTGTCAGGTTGTCAGGAATCTCATTTTCTCTTTTTTTCTAATTTTTGGAAACTCCAGTTTTTCCGCTTATTTTCCTTTGACTTTCCTCTTCCTGGTGTAACTGGAGAATAAATCCAGTCTCGTCTGAAATACCACCCTAAAAAGATGAATAACGTAATGAAGGACGGTGTCTGACCTTTGCAGTGTTGTATATTGTGTATTGTGTTATTGTGTACTGTATTGAATTGTATGTTATTGTATTATAGTGTATCACATTGCAGTGTATTATATTGCATGATACTGTATTGCATCATATTGCACTGGCTGATGACAGAGTACTGGTAGGAAGTGCACAGACCAGAGACGTTTTCATTCTACAGTGACCACACACACACACACACACACACACACACACACACACACACACACACACACTCTCTCTCACGCATTCCGGCTTGCTTTGTAAACATGAATCCTGCAATGACAGAATAGATGCGTATCTCTAGTTTGTGTGGCTCTCCTGCTCCTTCTTGAGTTTCGTGTTTTGGAAGTTTATGGCAGCTGAAAAGATCGGTATGTGGTTCCTGTGTTGACAAGTGAATATTGACGTTGCGTTGCATAAGAGTCCCTCTATAAACTCCTGTCAATCTCATGTAGAGTGATTCTATTTAGAGAAAGAGGTCACTGTTTGAAACCGGTGTCACAAGTGTTGTTATCCGAGAGAGAATGTCCTGAGGGAAGTTTGTTTATGGCGGGGCCGGTCAGGTAGGTGTTAATTTACTAAGAAGTGACTGAGAGTCATGGACGCTGATATCAGCATACAGCAGAGTGGCAGGCCAAGACTGCCTGCATGAGGCTTCTCTCATTCTTTATGAAGAGGGACAGGGGAAGTGATTCAGACCCACATTAAGGCCTCATTTTTCATGACAGAAGAAATGGACAAACACTTGGTACTTGGCCAAATATCTCTAGTCTCACTGAAAAAACTACATCTCACTCAAAGAATTGAGAAGCAGTGATGATCTGAAGCCATGGAATTTCATCTGACTGATACGATGGCAGGTCTCATGGAAAGAGTTGGAATGGCTTTATTGGCCGAATCTGTAAAAGTTAATTGCCGCTAGTATGAAAAATGTTGGACAAATTTTCTTTTAACGTAACATCTGTTAATGTAACCTGAAATAGTTCTGTTCTTTAATGTCCTGCATCAATTTTTTTAACATTTTTTTGTGATGATTGACTCTATGCTACATATTGTATGCTGGAAATGATGAAAAACGCTGGAGTATTCCATTAATTTGTTCGTATAACTTGAAAAGTCTGCTTTTCCAAGCCTCCATTCCTCATGAAATGCTCACATAATGTCATTAGATTCAGATAATAAACAAATTCTAAACCCTCTTTCATCTCAGCAAACACAAAACTCTATTGGTGGCAGAGAGAGACATGCAGGGTGTTGTAATGCAAAATAATAGCCCAAAGGAAACGTATTGTTTTACCACTGTCAACATTACGTATAGAAACTTAGCAGACGTTTGGGTTCCCTGGCTGTTTTGGATAGTAAATAAAATGGCTGTATTCCCAAAGTCTGAAAATCAGTCTGTAATATTAAAAGATTATCACTACCAAAACACAAATTTTTCTATCACTAATTTTTTTTTGTTTTAATAACAGATATTATGATTGTATGTGTGTACAGCTGTTCAAAGCTGTGTTTGCTAGTATGTTCTGTGTTTATACTTGAAATGAGCTAAAAATGTCATTACCGAAACAGTCACTGCTGAAACATTTATTAAGTTTAGATAGTGTTATGGTTGTTAATCAGTCATTTATTTTAATAAAATAAACATAATAAAGGTATAGGGATTTTAGTCTAAAGTCCAAGTCTGAAATGTTTCTTCAGCTCTAAACTAATTCTGTAGGATGGTCCTAAAGCACTGAAGCAGAAGCACAAAGGAGCAGCGGCTGCTGGTGTTTCTATGTCCTCTAAAGGGCTGTTTCTCCTGTTTAGTAAATTGTGACCTCTTTTTAACACCAAAGTGGAGTTTGTGACGGCACAAAACGTTGATAAATCTACCTCTACACTCCCAGAAATAAAGGTACTAAACTGTCACTGGGGCAGTGCCCCTCTTGTCACCGTGGTGGAAGCCTCAAGGGTCCATCTCAGTACCTTTAGTCAGGGAACATAACTGAACCATAATCCACTGAATGATATGTTCTAAGCTGTACTGACTCCACACACCCCGTCTCGCCTCCAGGCTTTTATTTTACTGTTCTGTTTTAAAACATTCAGTTATGAAAAGGTACAAATACGAACTTTTCACCTGGAGAAACTTATTTAAGGTTCACAATCAGACCTTAAAACTGCTGTTGTACCTTTGAGGGAAACTTTACACTGTTTGTACCTTGATGAACAAAAAATGTACCTGAACAGAACCTTTTATATCTATTAATACACTGTGAACGTTCTGACATTTTAACCTCAGGCACCGTCAGGCTGCTCTGTGTGTGTTCTTGTGTGTGTGATGAGTGCAAGAACAGCGTAAACTATGTTCCACGTCGGAACAAACCCTCTTTTGTTGTGGGGTGAATGATCATGACAGATTAGGACAGTGACAACAAAATGAAAACAAAAGCCGTTCGCTCTTTGTTTGTTTTTCCTGAGCAGTTGGATCAGATTTTTGTTTGTCTGATCTTTTCTATGCCTTTCTGAATTCATTGATCTTTTTGAATTTTTGAAAGAGAAACATACTATCAGGGTGATTTAGATAGGGTCACACTATTACAGTCAGAGTTGGCAGTGGTTAAATATGGTATTATTGGTTAATGCTATTTTGCCCTTTTGCTGGTGCATGGTGACATAATCAAAACTCAGAAGATGTTTTAGAGCTGGGCAAAAGTTCTTAGATTTTGGTCAAAGTTTACAGGAAAATAATCATTTTGTCATTTGTATGATATGATATAATATGAGATGGTATGATATGATGAATCACGCTTAATATGGTCTAGACATTAACTAATAAGGTAAAATAAAAAATCAGATTTTAGGCTCAAAAAGTATTTTTTAAAAAAATAAAAAGAAAACCTTGAGGTAAATTTTTAGGTAAAATGCTGACTTGTCAAATCCCTAGTGGCTGTAAAATGGCTTTCTGAAATGTTATGATAGTTTTGATTCGATTACTCGCATGTAGACAACGACGAGGACCTCATACACGAGTTGTAAGGCATAACTGACAGATGAATGTGTAAAAAAGAAAGGGGGATAGATGGAGAGGTGTATGGGTGTAACTGATGGATGGCATTGTTTAAAGGGCTGGTTTTCCTCTCTTTCCAGGTTTTGATCACAATCTATTGGCTGGGCCGGGCAGCCAATAGCAGTGCTACGTATAACGGGCCCACTCTGGACCTGCGCGAGTTTGAGGGGCTGCTGTCACAGATGCGAAAGGTAAACACAGTTACTGCTCTATCACTGCTGCACTGGACAACATACCAGTATAGGTGTAGCCAGTAAATGAGTCTCTTCTTCTTGTCATCTGTAAAACAGACTTATATTCATGTTGTCATCACTGCTTGGTATCAGACATTTTATGATTTCTTAGAATGGATTTTCATAGAGCCTTTAGTTGTTTTTTTTTAAAGTGGACACATGGGAGCTTGTGATTTTTATAGAGAGTGGTCAGAGAGCTGAGTGAGGCTAGACACTGAAGCCCCAGCCGAGTGGCCTCTTCCACTGAAGCGCCAGCGAGCATCAGTGTTTGAGTCATTAGTGGAAGCGAGTGATTCTCCCTCTCCAGAGATGAGCTCAGACTGGACTCAGCAACAAGGGCTGAGCACTTTGTAGAACCCCTGAGAGGAGAGTGGTGAAACATATACCAGCATGCAGGGCTGGACACACACTCATGCACACACTCTCTGGTGTCCAGTTTGACATAGTTTAGTGCTTGGATTAAGGAGCTACCATTGATATCAAAAAGGAGAAATTTGACAAGGAGTCTATCTTGATGAGCGCACACATGTATGACATCCTAAACAGACCAGACAAGCACGAGCAATAATAAAGAGCCATAGAGGAGCTAAAGAAAAGTGTAAATATCTGTACATATGCAAATAAGAATGCCTAGACCAGGGGTCGGCAACCCAAATGTTTTGTCCTTTCAGCAAAAATCAATAACATTTGGAGCCACAATATTTTATATCCATTTTACCATTTTGGCTGTAAATATGTCTCAGTATGTGCTGATGTGCAAGTAAAGACTAAAAAATATATTGAAAAAGCAGACTAACTTTGCTCTCTTTCAACGTTTGACTTTTACGAGGCTGAAGTCGCTGCTCATTCGCCAGCTTCTTGTTCGAATTTTCCCATTCCACCTTAAATGGTGCCTGAGGTGCCAGAATGTAACTGCTGTGGCATTTAAAGTGGAACGGGACAATTCGAACAAGAAGCTGGCGAATGAGAAGCGGCTTCAGCCTCGTGACTTTTTAGTGTTTGACAGTTTCTCATTGCAGATTAAATGTGTCAGGAAACCAGCTGAATGATGATGAACGCAAAACTAAATCCATTCGTCTCCAAATTATCAATGTTCATCTTAAATCTTTCTCTTTGCCGTTTCGTTGGCCACTAGCTAGGCGATATTGTTGTATGTGTTGCTATGGTGACTTTATTTTACTGCAAAGGAGCCACATGTTGCTGGTCCCTGGCCCATACATATGAAGGTCTGATGGCATATGCTATAAAAACTATAAAAATATTATAGAATGATATAATATATGTAGAAATTTAACATCTGTACATTTGTGCAAATAGCATAATGGAGTTTCTGTAACACAGTAAGAATGTTGCTTTACTTTAAGCTTTAAGGGCGAGGTGTCCACTAGTGTCCAGTAAGCACTACAGCTCTGGGGAAAAGCTGTTAGCATGTCTGGCTGTGCTGGTTCTGATGGCCCTGAATCTTCTACCAGAGGGGAGTGTCTGGAAGAGGTGATGTCCAGGATGAAAGGGGTCAGCTGTTATTTTGCCAGCATGCTGCTTTTGTAGATGTCCTGAAGTGTTGGCAGATACATCCAATGGTCCTCTCAGCTGTCCTGAATATGCGCTGGAGTTTGGCTCCTTCTTGTGAGGTGGAGGAACCAAACCAGATAGATATGGATGATGTGAGGATGGACTCGATGATCGCTGTGTAGAACTGGATCAGGTTGAATTTCTTCAGCTGTCTCAGGTAGAACATTCTCTGCTGTGCTCTTATAGCTATGGAGATCACGTTCCTCTCCCACTTTAGGTCCCTGGATATGGTGTTGTGCAGAATTTGAGTGGCTCCACTGTGGAAACCACAGAGCCATTGATGTTGAGAGGGGTGGAGGTTGCATCTGAAGTCCACCACCATCTCCACAGTCTTTTATGTGTTGAGCAGCAAGTGGTTGATGCTGCACCAGGAGACCAGCTGCTCAACTTCCTTTCTGTAGGCAGACTCGTCCCTGTGGGCTATGAGGCCCACCACAGTAGCGTCATCTGCAGACGTCAGGATCTTCACAGCTGGTTCCTTAGAGACACAGTCATTGGTGTAGAGACTGAAGAGAAGGGTTGAGAGCACGCAGCCTTGTGGTACACCAGTACTGAGGGTCCGGGGGGTCTGATGTGTGTTGTCCTAGCCACACCTGCGGTCTCCTGTTTGTCAGGAAGTCCATGATCCACCAGCAGATGGGATCTGGCACGGACAGCTGGGACAGTTTGAACTGCAGCAGCTCTTTCACTATGATGTTGAAAGCTGAGCTGAAGTCCACAAACAGAACTGTAGCGTAGGTTTCCAGGACTGTCGAGATGCTGTATCTTGAAGTGCAGAGCCAAGCTGACCACATCGTCGACAGACCTCATAGCTCTATATGCAAACTACAGGGGATCCAGCAGAGGGTTTGTAATGGTCTTCGGGTGGGTCAGGACCTGGCGTTCAGACCTTCATGACTACGGAGGTCAGGCCTACTCGCCTGTAGTCATTTAGTCTGAAATTGTTTGTTTTTTTGTGGGACTGGAATGAAGGTAGATGTTTTGAAGCATGTGGGAACAGAACAAAGTTCCAGTGATTTGTGGAAGACGTTGGTAAAGATTGGCGCTAGTTGGTCACAGCAGTGCTTTAGGGTGGATGGAGAGACTCCAGCTGGCCCCAGAGCTCTTCTCACCTTCTGTCCACCTCTTCATTGTTGTGATGACAGGCTTGTTGGATATGAGTTTCTGTGCTTGAATGTTAGAAGTCTTCAGTTACTCAAAGCTTTTCCATAAATACATCCCCAAAACTCCTCACAGTCCACTCAAACCACATCCAGGTCTTCACACACACACACTGTTTTTTCCCATAGTCTCAGGACAAGAGGTCATACATATGTCGGTTTGTCCAGCACTGTGCAACAGTCAGAGACCACTCTTCATTTATGTATTTCATTTCCAGTCAAAATGAGCAATAAATACAAGTTATTTATTTTACAGTGTCAACAAAAAGTATAAAACATGCATATCTGAAAGAAAACAATTCAAATGAATCAACAAATAAATACACTATAAATTTATCAGTATATCCTCTTTGCATTCATTTCCATTCTTTTCAAGAGACTTGCTTTCAGTTTTTCAGTGAAATCTCCAGGGATACTGTTCAGTCTTAGATCTCAAGATGTTCTTAGACTGAGCTTTAGAAGTTCTCATCTTCTTCTCTACACTGAAGTTCTCATCTTCTGGTGCAAATGTTCTTTGTTTTGTCTATTTGTTTTTCTCAGTGAGGCTTCTTTACAGCTCCACATCCTTTTAGACTCATAACGCTGAGTTGTCTGCTCACAGTGAGTGCGTTTACATGCACTTAATAATCTGATAACTGCAGAAAATCAGATTTTTTTTTTTTTATCAGTAATCTGATCAACATGTTTACATACACTTGAGTAGTCAGATAATGGGGAAGCTCCAGGTCAGACAGTAATCTGATTTCTGCTTTGCAGCCAGCCAATAAACTCACAGAAGAAGACGTGATGTAAACTCAAACTTTATCCTGCGGCTTTTTTTTAAACACTGCTCCACTTTACCTGAAAATATAAACATACATCATCTAGAAAATAAAGAATATTAAAATCGTTTATTTCGTCAAGCAAGTATTTGGTTTCAGCGTCGCTCCAAAAGTGTTTTGCTGCGTCTCGCGGCAACGCTCTTTTTGCACATGCACAGACTGAGAAATCTGAAAGAAATCTGAGAAGTTGAGTCAAGTCAAAGTTTATTTATAAAGCGCTTTTTACAGCAGGTGTTGTCACAAAGTAGCTTTACAGAAAAATCCGGGTCCAAGCCCCCATCAGCGTCGCCAGTGGCGAGGAAAAACTCCCTAAGAGAAACAGGAAGAAACCTTGAGAGGAACCAAGACTCAAAAGGGGAACCCATCCTCCTCTGGTCGACACCGGATTTAATATGAAGTATTATAATACAGTAAGAGTTACATGCACCGAGAAATCTGATTACTGAGCTAAAATCCAGAAATCTGATTCCTAGATCGGAGTGCGCTGTTTACGTGACCATTTGAATAATCAGATAACTGCAGAAATCTGATTATGATCCGATTACTGAGTGCATGTAAACACACTCAGTGTAAAGATGGACAAAAAAACCTGTGGATTTTTTCAGCTGTCAGATTTCAGAAGAGTGGAGCTTGAAGTTCTCCTGTCTCTCACAGATGAAAGCTTATAAGTACTGTTTATCTGACTGAGAGTTTGATGGTCTACCAGGTCTTGCACGGTTGTTAAGGAGTCACAGTTTTTCTTTTGCTTTTCCTTATTTTCCTTTGACTTTCCCCTTCATTTTGCCAGTGGGGTATCTTCTAGCTAAGCGCCTCAGAAATATCTCCCAAAAATGGCCGTTTTGACTGGATATTAAATAATTGAATAATTGGTCACTGACTTTTGCGCAGTACTGCACATGTACATGTTCCACATGTGTTATAGATGTAGGTACATTTATGTAACAATATGTTAAAAGAGTCTCTCTGACCCTCTCTCTCTCTCTCTCTCTCTCTCTCTCTCTCTGAGAAGTGATTCTCTATCTGTGTGGATCATCCCAAACAGTCTCTCCATTCTCCCAGCCGGTGTCGATCGCCCCTGTGCTTCAGGGCTAATGAAAGGCCGGCTTGTTTTGGTGACACAGCAGAAGCCTGTTTAGGCTAAAAAAAAAAAGGGCTGACTCATCTCGCTCTGTAATCACACCGAAGAGAGTTCTAGGCCAGACAGTGTCAGAGCAAAACACCAGCACACTGACTTGTTTACTTCTTCATTTATTAGATTCGATGGGTAGTGTCGGGATCCCTGTCGGGTGTATGTGAGTTATGATAGAGCATATGGGTGGAGAGAGGAGAGGAATGTTCCTTGAAGTGAGAGCGACTAAAGAGAGCCGTTGTGCAGCCAGACCTCCAGCATGAGGGTCAGCCAGCACAGTCTTCACATCGTCCTATACACAATTTACTAGACAGCCAGAGATCACTGTCCTAGGGTTTCAGTCATGTGATTTTTCTGTTGTGGCTGTCATATTTGGGACTGAATTTCTGGCTTCGCTGCTCTGAAAGAACTTATCTAGAGGTGAAAGATGGTCAAAATTACTCTCCTTACTTTGGAAGCGAAAAAACGTGACCTCGACAAAGTCGATAAAATAGGCTGTGATCCTTACACAGCTTCCCCCTGAACTTCTGGACCCACTTAAACTGGCAGAAAACCACTGTTTTCCTGACATATTGATCTCATACTCAGCCCCTCTCCCTATTCTGGAGTCTCTCAAAGCATTTAAATCACAGAAGCCCACCAGCTCTTCAGGTCAGGGTGGGTAAAGGATCCTGTGGTGTTGTATAAAGAGGAGACAAACTCTTTGTCATCAAAGGAGGGTAACGACATCAGCTAATTAACACAGATGTGATCAATGCTGGCCTTTAGATAACTGTAGCTAATGTTACCAGCCGAGAGATGAACAGTCGTCCCCCTAACGGAGCTGCAGACAGCCGGTATAACTTTACTCTCTGTTTCTGGAAATTTAAATGATGTTTGAATGGAGAAACATTAACGTTAAATATCAGACTGAATGTCGTGGGTCGGAAAACGACGTCGTGTTTCGACAGACGTGATTCTGTAAGTTTGCTAGTGCAGTTAGTTCAGAGTTCAGCTCCAGTCCTGAAACCCCTGCACTGCATAACTGTGGTTTCCCTGGTTAAAATACCTGATATTATTAGCTAATTAATCCCTTCTTGAGCTGAACGAGGTGTCAACAGGTCTGTGTAGTGAATTCCAATCTGAGTGTTCACATTAAGGTCGCATGGCCACGAATCCGATACGTATCCGCTTTATGACCACATTTGAAAGTGGCTCAGGTCAGATTTGAAAAGATCCACACAGCCCTGAAAACATCAGATCTGAGTCACATTAAGGCAAAAAAATCAGATTTGTGCCACTTCAACCTGGGAGCTGGCATAATGGTTACCATTAGAGGCCACTAGTTTCCTCTAGGACACTTTTAGATACCATTAGAAAACCAGAAAATGCATCTGGAATCAGTCCCAGAACTCCTGGTAAGCCATCAGAATCACTGTGATATCAATCTATCAGGAAAACACAAAATACCATTAGTGGTTGTTGGACTCCAAGAGAATCTTTTAAAGGTTTCTGGGTTTTTTTTAGCAGAAAAGCCACAAGGAAACAATATTTTGGTGGATGATATCCAGACTCTGTGATGGTTAGTAATATTAGGGAGGAGAAAACCAGAGACTGAACTCTTAAGCAGTGAACCATGAAGCGGGAAGGACAGAGTGAGACTAGGGAAGAGGGAAAGCAGGGGGAGAAGGAGGGGTGGACGGGTGGAGCGGTTGTGAAACAGCTTGATGGACTCTCAGGGTAGTCATAACAGACATCACTTCTGTCCAGATTTGAGAGTCATACGTCCACTTATAAAACAAAACCACACAAAATAGCTATCCTGACCACACAGGGAGAGTCTCACATTTCCTTATAGGACTTGTTTAAGGTTTAAGTTTTTGAAGTGACAGTAACCGCTGGTGATAAGCACGTTGTACGTTGTGTGTGTACATATATATATATATATATATATATATATATATATATATATATATATATATATATAGAGAGAGAGAGAGAGAGAGAGAGAGGGAAATAGATAAATATAGATATTATATTATTGCTACTGTCAGAACAAATCTCGTATCTCCATTTTTGTTGTTTTTCAGTTTTTCACATGATTTGAAAATGCCTGTTGCTCTTTACATTGTATGTAAATTTCATGATGAATGGACCAAAAGAAACGGCCCAAAATGACTAGGAAAAAATTCTGGTTCCATTGACTTACATTAAAAGTAAGGCATGATTTTTCCTTCTCCTGTAAAGTTACCATTTTGGAGATACGAGGTTTTCTTCAGACAACAGTGAGTAGAAGTAAGTAGAAGAGGGATTTGATGAGGAGGTTAAAATGGATAAAAGGTTTTGTTGAGTAAAGTCTTGTTTTGCGGAAAGTAACTTTTTACATTTTTGCCTTTTTTATGGTAGCACTGTTAGCATGTATGCTAACAGCTAGAAAACTAATACTCATATTTTAATATTCTCAAAGGAAAATGTATGTTTTGTTTACCTCTACACATAATCCTGAGTAACTGTAGAGTGTAGGTACGAGTATAAATGATCTTAGAGTCTGATAGATATATCACAGTGCTAATAACCGTCTGTTACTTTTAATTAAGACCTAGCTGAACTGCTAGCTAAATCTGTTTTCATACATTAGTTTATGACATAGCATTAGACATAGATTTGTTTGAATTATCAAATAAATCTATGCACAGATTTATTCAGTACACATTATTTTCATGGTTTTGTCATTTGTTGACACTACATGCACTTAATAATCCGACAACTGCAGAAATCAGATTTTGTCAGTAATCCGATCAACGCGTTTACATGCACTTGAGTAATCAGATAATTGGAAAACTCCAGGTCTACATGAGTCAGACAGTAATCAGATTTCTGCTTTGCAACCAGCTGATAAACTCACAGAAGAAGACGAGACGTAAACGTGACATAAAACCTAACCTTAATGCCGCAGCTCTTTTTTTTTTAACAATGTGCCACTTTACCTGAAAATATGAACATACATCATCTAGAAGATGAAGAATATTTAAATCCTTTTTGTCTTTGATTTGCTGTATCTGTTTGATTTGTTTTGCTCCATCTCATGGCAACGGTGCTCACTTATTTCCGCGCATACGCAGACTGAGAAATGCGAAAGAAATCAGAGTAAGAGTTTACATACACTGAGAAATCTGATTACTGAGCTAAAATCCAGCCTCTTTATCAGATTTCTTAATCAGATTCCTAGATCGGAGTGTGGTGTTTACGTGACCATTTGAATAATCAGATAACTGCAGAAATCCGATTATGATCAGATTATTGAGTGCATATAAACGCATTCAAATTCTGGCAATGGAATTCATGCTGGTCTAAGCTATTTTTTTTTTGGCAAGGGTTTCAAAATGTTTTTTTCTCGCTGGTTACCTAGCTAAATACAGTCGTATGCAAACGTTTGGGCACGTTGTTTAAATGACGTTTTGTAAGTGAAAATAAATTCACCCACCCTCCACAGAAAACACATTTCTGCACCTTTTAATGCTCTGTTACTGTTTATTTGCTGAAATATTGGGGAAAAACATTAAGGGCTATTTCAGTACATTAATCTCAGCAAATAAATAGGAACTTTGTACTAAAATTTGTAGAATAATGTCATATTTAAGTTTGTTCTCTGTGGAGGACTAACTTTAAATCTAATTTTAAATCAGCAAAACGTAATTTAACTGGGGGTGTTGAAACTTTTGCACAAGACTGTGAATAATCATGTAATGTAAAATATATAGCCAAATGTGATTAATAATGTGTGTGTGTGTGCGTGTGTGTGTGTGTGTGTGTGTGCTGCAGGAGGCGGAGGATTGGGACAGTCCTAAGCGCAGCATCAGGGACAGTGGTTACATTGACTGCTGGGAGTCCGAGCGCAGTGAGTCTTTGTCGCCGCCGAGGCACACACGGGACGACTCCTTCGACAGCCTGGACTCCATCGGCTCCCGCTCACGCCACACCCCCTCTCCCGATGGCCTGCTCGCCCGCGGCTCCAGCGATGGTGGGCACAAACACTCACACACTGTCTAGCCTCGACACATACAGTACTGAAAGACTGGCTGAATGAGGCCAGGAATATTGAAGATTTAGGAATACGGACAACTGGTTTTGTCATTTTTGGTAGTTAGCCAGTTAGCTAGCTAAGAAAAAATACAGTTACCTTACTTAGTGAGGTCATGTTAGCTACTGAACTGTTTGTTACACAGCTAATCTATCTATCCATAAAGTAGCCTGTATTCTATTAATTTATTATCATCTATTAATTCTATTGATCTGATTGGTTTTCTTGGTTCAGTTGCATGTATAGACTGACAGCATGGCCAACCAATAGAGCGATGCACCAGGAATTCTCCTGGTATTCCCAATGGTAATAACAGACTGTAGCATTCAGAGCTTTTAAAAATGGATGAATGTTGGTCAGTACTGCTTTTAGCCACACTGTGTACTTTTGTCCATTTTTACAGACAACAGTAGGTCTGGGCGATTAATCAAAAAGTAACTGAAACTGACATTCAGAACCTCTCACCGACGTAATCTTGCCCATGTCGGTTATTTTGATCTTTTTTTTATTCTGTTAATCCTTTCCCGACTCTGTGTCCCCCACCGTAGTCACGTGACTCCGCCACGTATTCCGATCTGGCTGTTGAGACGATTTACATTAAGATATGCAGAGCATATTTACAGTACAAACCTTTTCAGTGAACTATGCAAACAAAAAAAAACAAAAATAATCATTCATCAATTGTAATCGAGGTAAGACATTCAATTAATCGTGATATAATCTATAAACTATAAACTATAACAAAGGACAGCATTCAAATCACATGTCTACACAGAGTGACCCTAAAGCCCACTGGCTGCTCGTATAGACCTCAGTGCTGCTAGTCTTGTTGCTTTAGTTGCGCAGTTCCAGTTTGAAGTGGCTCATGTCCAGAAGGCACTGAGGAGCTGCAGCAGCTGGAGCCGAGACTAGGTGGCCTTTGACCTAAAACATTCATATTCGCTCTGATCCAAACATGAAGTAAATCTCAAACCAGTGTGTTATTCTGGGTTTTGATAGAGGCCTTAACTCTTAAAGGAGTACCTCTGGTTGCAAACCATCCATGACCTTATTTCCCCCTCAACCTTTTTTTTTTCAGATAAGTAGCCAAAATAACAGAATATAACAAAATATCTTTGCCATCTTATCAACTTTTTATTTCTTTTTTTACACCATTTGAAAAATGATTTTACAAGTTAATTTAGTTAAAGTATAATAATGTTTAGCCTTCTAAAAGTTACATCTTGGAGATGCAAGGTTTTATTACAATACAGTACAAAATATGCAACAGAATGTACAAAATGTTGGGAATTGGGAAAAACACCTTAATGGCAGTTATTTTTCCCTTATATATATATATATATATATATATATATATATATATATATATATATATATATATATATACACACACACACACACCGATCAGGCATAACATTATGACCACCTCCTTGTTTCTACACTCATTGTCCATTTTATCAGCTCCACTTACTATATAGGTGCACTTTGTAGTTCTACAGTTACAGACTGTAGTCCATCTGTTTCTCTGATACTTTGTTAGCCCCCTTTTACCCTGTTCTTCAGTGCTCAGGACCCCCATGGACCCTCACAGAGCAGGTACTATTTGGGTGGTGGATCATTCTTAGCACTGCAGTAACACTGATGTGGTGGTGGTGTGTTAGAGTGTGTTGCGCTGATCTGAGTGGATCAGACACAGCAGTGCTGCTGTGTCACAGCGTGCATTGTTTATGGTGTTGTCTGCGTTTAAATATTTCCCTTGTTGACTGTTGGCTGCTTTGGGGGTGTGTTGCTAAAACACACGTAGCTTGATTTGCACAGTGTGAAAGTGTATGCATAGTTGGCCAGTTTTGTGCCCCAAAGGAGCTTAATCTTGTTTTTTTACCTAACAAATGTATGATAATGTCCTGCGTTTTGAGTACATTGTTGTACGACTGTTATAACTCTTGATGTGATTTTGAGTGTTGAATAGTTTGACCATAAGCATGACACGATCTATTACCATGGCACATATCAACAGCCTGATTGTCGCTCAGGTCATTTGCATAAGGTTGGTCCAGAAGGAGACAGAGCAGGATGTCCTTATAGCAAAGTCAGTCATACATGACCAAGCTCCAGTCTCTTTGTATGTGGAGGGAAATCCCACAGTAAAAGCCACATCACTGTAAAAAAACAATTGAAATCATCACTAAAATCGGACATAAACAGCACAGTTTGGAGCATTTGGCTCAAATAACATACAATAAAGTGTTTTTTTGGTCTTTTCTAGCAATTTTGCATGAGCTTCACTCCAGAACGAGGGGGAGCTTTTCCCGCTTGCAGCTTAACCAGCAACCTGATTGGCTCTTTTTTGTTAAAGGGTGGCGCTCTTTCTCCATAAACAGACACTGTGGTGAGCGTTGAGCTTTCCCATTCATTGTCCAACCAGTGACCTGTCTCCTCCTTTATAATAATCTGGGGTGCACTACTGGCTCATTAGTAAGATGTGTATATTGCTGTGGCTCCCTAAGTGTTGGCCCTGTCATCGGCTGATTGCAAGTTCGATCCTTGATGATGTTACAGCCATATGTGGTTAGGAGTCCAACTGAGCACAACTGACCTCACTCTCCCTGGGTGGGTAGCACAGCCCTTCTTCTCCCCCCACTCAGCGCGATGCTAGCCAACACAGGCGTCTGTTAACTGACATAACAGAACTGGTGGTTAGCGTTCTCCTCTAAGTGTGCTTAGCTGTCCAATGATGTGGTGTTAGCAACAGCTCACCCCACCCCCACCCCCACCAAAAAAAAAAGTTATCATTTTTTGCCACATTTTTCATCTTGAGGGGCGGCACAGTGGCGCTGTCACCTCACTGTCCACAGTGTTTCCTGCCTCCGCCCATTGACCGCTGGGACAGGCTCCAACCACGCGACCCCCCAACCTCACCGTGTGTGTTTATTCATTTTGATGTAAATGACTCAAAACTCTCAACGAAAAAAATATATACTGCTATAAACTGTAAATCGCTGCTGTCGGAAGGAAACCTCGTATCTTCAGTTTTGCCGATTTTCAGTTTTTGCATAAAGGGGGTGTTCAGAGTGCTGTTTGTTATGTAATTAATATACTTCTATTTGTTTGATAGGCAACGGATCATGCTTATGATGCTGCTGCTTATCAGCCAATCACCAGTGTGGATTTTGGAAATTGTGTGCTCACTGACTATGCACTCATCACTTTAACTGCTCCATAAGCTCAGTCTAATTGCACTACTGTTTATATTTGCACTATTTATACCCACAGACCTTAATCTGTATGTGCCTCATGTCACTTTAGTGTTAATTTCAGGACCTTTTACATTTATATATATTTTTATTATTCTATTTTCCTACAATTAGTGTTTATTTTTACGATTAGTGTTTAGTGTTTTTATTTAATGTCCATTTAAATTCACACTTTTCCTGTTTACTTTCTATTTAATGTTATTGCTACACCATGGGGTCTGAGAGTAACGCAATTTCAATACTCTGTATGTCCTGTACATATTGTAGTATTGACAATAAAGCTGACTTGACTTCACTTGACTTGACACTGATAAGACCGAGTACTACTAAGTATTGGAATCTGACGCTCGGTAGTGTTGAAATAATTCAGTACTGTAAAAAGACTGAATTTGATACTTAGCCCTAGTCACTAACACAGAGTAAACACAAACCATGAAGACATATGTTTGGTTTTTTATCTTTACTCCTAACACTGATCTGGTATAATTGAACAGCATAGGTTTGTGTGGATTTTACACATGTGACATTATGCATGTACAGTACGTCCAGACATGGACACGCACCGGTATCTGGTATTGATATCTGCACTGTGGTTTCTGCTCTGAGCTCAACTCAGACCAAGTGTTTGTGTTAATCTGAGGCCTGTTGCCATGGGTTACAGGCCTCTTATTTCATAAGAATATAAAACAGACAGCGAGAGAGCAGCATGGACGAGGGAGAGAGAGAGAGGATGTGAAGGATAAGGGAGACCCATGAGAGATCAGATGCAGGTTGATTGCACTCTTAATACATGTGCTTATATAGTAACGGAAGGAAATTCAAAGTACAAGTGATAGAGCCTCTTAACCTGCACAGTCCACACAAACACGCACGCTTTTACTCTCTCACCCCACTGATGGTTATAAAGGCCCGCTGTAATGTGGATGTACTGAGTGAAGCTGGAAATTTAATTGCTGAGTCGGAACAGTTAAAGCCAATGAGGCTCAGCTCCCAAATGTTAACACACACACTCATATACACACTCTGACAGTAAAACCCCGGCTCCTGTCTGCTGACCGAACTGCTGTCACTCTAATATTCCTCACAGTCACTACCCTTAGTTCTTTTCCACAGAGAAGAAGAGCCAAAATCACTTTTCTCTAAACGACAGGGCATCCAGGGTCAGAGTTTGCCAGTCCAGTCAGTCACTGGAGAATCCAGACAGACGTAAACCACAAAGAGTTTAAAGCTGTATATTTTCGCTGTTGTCACAAAACATTCTATGTCCAATATAGTTAACATTACAGGACTAGAAAAAACATTCTGAACTAAGAACAGATTTTTTTTTCAATTTATTTTGGACCATTTCTGCTTATTCCTTCATTTATCATGACATTTTAATACATTGTAAGGGGCAGCTGGCATTTTCAAATACTGTAAATAAAAATCTATTCTTAAAAAAATAAAAAAGACTTCAGAAATGGAGATTTTGTTCCAGCAGAGACGACATGTATTTGGTAAAGGAGTTCAAAGACACCATTCAATATGATTATGTTCCTAATAGACCTCATTCAAATTTGCACATTTTCCCCTTTCCCCAAATGTGGCACCCAGCCAAGAAATGTCTGATGTCCAGCGTTTGCTTCTTTAGTTTTAAACGGGAGCTATAAGGCTAGTGTAGCTAACAAATAAGAAGCTTATAGTCAC